CTCAGTAGGAAACACGGCTCTGCTGAAGCTTGCGGCATTTCCAGCGGTGAAAGGCGGCAGAACTTACTTGTTTTGTAGGAACGGGAAGCCTTTTGGATGCATAGACTCCAGTTCTGCTTTAGATTGTTGTGCTGAATGGGGAAATCACTGGATGAAATCCTGCAATCCTTCTTACACACAAGTCAAACTGAACTCCTGTAACGTTCTCCTCTGTCCTTAGAAACTTGTGAGCAGGGCCGAGAGGACGTGCTATGACGAGCGTGGCGACACACTGAACATTTTTATCAGTTAACATTCCCGTGCTGTACACAAATACCCCCTTTATTGTCCAAACTCAATGGGAAACTGTAAAAATCTCTGCTGAGAAGAGCAGAGTACTCTCTCTCTTCATGTTATGGAAAACATGAAGTAGGGAAAAGGCAGGAAAGAGGAGCCCTCCACGATGACCAAACACTTGCAGGCACTAAAAGCTACCGAAAACCACTGCGGCCGTCCACAGGATCTTCAGGCACCTTCGTCCATGGGAGACTAGTCAAAACCACCCGGATAATCCCCCGCACTGTGGCCACCGATATGTATTAACATGACCCACACCATGCCCACCAGCTCCCATGTCCCAGCTATGGGGCTGCCCGACATAATCAATGTTTAATGAGCATTTAGTTTCATCCTCATAGTTTTGCAGTATTTGGGGGTGAAGTGGGAAGGTTGTGCTAAACAGCTACTTGTCAGAACGCAAATCCAAATTATTATTCAAACATCTGAGGTCAATATCCACTTGAATTCATCCCCTTCAAATTCCTCTTGGTGAGCTGCCCTGCATAAATCTGCACATAACACACTTTTCCAGCAGGCAATATTTTGTAAGGCTTAGTGTTTGACAGATACAACCCTTTCAGTGAAAACAGTATGAGACTGTCACGATGACTTGGGCAGACATCACTGACAAAAGGAAATTGGTGCCTGAGCTGCTGCTGCAGACACATGTCAGGCAGTATTTTTTCAAAGGGAGTGCAGATCTAGAGAGACATTGCCATGGTTTTAAAGATCAAAATGCGTGACTTGCAGCGTTGTAATTGGAAGGGCACAGTGCTCCGTGCCTGAAACATCAGGTTGGGTTTGGTTTTTGAATCAGGCACCACATCTGTAGAGTTTCTGTAGGAACGGCGCATCCCAACGCATGTCTTTTCCCCACTGAGTAACAGGGAGCCCTGCTGACAGAGCCAGGGATGCCCACACGGATAAACAAGCCCCCTTGGACGTGACAGAGCATTACACAACCACACACTGCAGCTCACGCGAAGAAACACAGCACACTGCTTTAAACTTAACTTCACTGGAAATGCGGGGCTTTCCTTAAACTCCCGCTTGCCAAAAGAAGGAAGAGCAGCTACCCCTCCTCCTAGAACACCACTGCAGCAATGAACGTTATTACCCAGCCCTGGGGACGGGTGTTTAACGCGAGGCGCGTGCGGCTCCGGGGCGCGGGCCGGCCGGGAGGCCGCGGGCGCCCCCGGGCCCAGGCAGGTGCCGAGGGGTCCCGGCCGCTCCGCGCTCGGCACCGGCCCCACACACAGGGAAGGCCGAGAGGGGATCTCACCAACATGTATAGGTACATGAAGGGGGAACGTGGGGAGGAAGGGGCAAGCCCTTCTCAGTGGTGGCCAGTGACAGGACACGGGGCAGTACAAGCTGCAACCCAGGCAGTTCCATCTGCATGTGAAGAACTTCTTCCCTGTGAGGGTGCCAGAGCCCTGGCACAGGCTGCCCAGGAGGCTGTGGAGTCTCCTTCTCTGGAGATCTTCCAAACCCGCCTGGACGCCGCCCTGTGCCCCGTGTTCTGGGTGTCCCTGCTGGAGCAGGGGGTTGGACTGGATGATCTCCAGGGGTCCCTTCCCACCTCAGCCACTCTGGGATTCAGCGAAGGCCGGAGACTGGTGGTGCCGCGGAAGGAGCCGTGCTCGGCTCCCAGCCAAAGGCCCCTGAACCCTCCCTAGCGTCACGGACGCCCCTCTGGCCCTGCCCGGGCAGGGGGAGGGCGCCCAGCAGGACAGAAACGATTTGCAGTCGGTGTCATCTCAGACCTACCGCCCGGGCCCTACTGCCCTCCAGCCCCGGCTTGAAATCTATGGAAACTCAGCAGCCAGTCACTCCGCAGGAACTTTTAAAGTCGTTTTCAGAAATATTTGGGAAAAAAAAGAAAAAAAAAAAAAAAAGGCACGGATTAAACCCTTTTAAGCAAGTCTAACAGTCATTGTCTGTTTTGGAAAGACAAATTAACACACAGATTTCCTGGAACACTGACAGCAAACTAGGCGTGTGTTTTCCGAAGGAGAAGCTGCTTTGTAATTTCCTACCTGCACTGCAACACGGCCAAGCACAGAAATGCAGACTTTTTCTGGAACAGCTGTCAAGAGGGGGAACGTTACCTAGCTTCTCCTCTAAAATAACCTGAGTAATTCCTAAGAAACGGAAGGCATGTGACACGCTGTAAAATGCATTCACCTAACTGATAAACAAACTGAAAAATCTCAATTGACAATAAAAAGCTGCTACTTCTTTTGTAATCCTTTTGGATCCTTCCTCTTATTTTGTTTCGCTTTTCTACAACAAAATGTGTTACTGCACTTGTCAGAGTCAAGCTAAGCCTCCATTGAGACATATTGATTATTTAAAAACAAGGCAAAATCCCTACTGGGGAGTGTAAGTGTGATCCCACTGCAAGATTTCACCTGACGGGAATGTCAAATTGCAGTGATATTGAAATGATGCCATGGGGGAATGCAGCAACGTGATCCCCTGATCCCGCCCAGCTGCTGCTGAGCAGAGCCTCTGAGGAGATCCAGCCCATCTCACCCATCCCTTCCATCCCAATTTCCTGCACCATTCCACTCTCTGGCCTTTTAGCTTCATAGATACTCTGGAGTTCAGCTCCTCACCTAGGGTTAACCAAGTTCAATTTCCTCTTCTGTCCAGGGTCATTTCCGAAGATACTTCCCAGGTGATTGCCTCAAAATACATATTATTAGCTCCTTCAAAGAGGAAGTGAACTCTTGCCCATTCCTGGCTGCAAAAACAACCAAATGACCTGAGGATTCCCTGCATTCACAGCAGACTTCCTGGTTGTCAGGATCTAGCTGGGAATTCAGGCTTGTTGGGGTCATCTGCGTTCTAGTTCCTGCACCAAGAACAATTTTATACTTTCTTCACAAAAATGGCCATTGCACAAAATGCACAAAACCAAAACTCAAGAGTTGATGGCAACGAGGCAAGTCTTACCCTGGGGCACCCTAACACTTTCTTTGGACCCCGTCTCCTCTCCAAAATTCCCAAAGCAGACCCTATTCTTCGGGCAGCCTTAAGCGTTACACCAGAATTAGGCAAATCCGCTGACCCCAGCTCTGTCCTACCTTACACCAGCCTCAGTGCAGTTAAAGCTGAACCCACCCCGTGCCCAGGGGCTTCAAAAGCGCCCACCCCCAGGCTGCACATGCAGAACCACGGCGTGCTCGTGTGCATACCGTTTTTGACACGAAAAAAAAAACAAAACAGGAGGGTACCAGCACGAGGGAAGGAAATAACCTTTTCAGTAGTCCAGCCGCTTGGAATAAGGAACTAGAGGATGCTTTTAATTTTTTTTCCTCTCCCCAATACTGGGGAGACATGGAGATGAATAACCTTGATTCAGATTCCCATTCACCTCAGCCCAGCGCTGTGGAATAGCACCAAATCCGTCCCACGGGCAACCCTGGGGACAACGTTTTCAGCCACCCATTGGGAAACATTTCAAGACAAGAGCAGACCCTGGAACCGCACCACGTCGACGGCTGCTGCCGTGCGCAGCGCTGCGAAATGCAGACACAGCCAAAGATATGTGGAATGTAAGATATGTAAGGTTATATGAACAAGAATATGTAAGATTATGTCACTGACTCCTGGTTTATGCAAGATTATGTCACTGATTCCAGGTTAACCTGTGTTTTAGGATTACAGAAACATGGTTGTCACAGACAGGCATGCCAGGCTAGCAAATTTATGAAGGAAAGGCTGTGTCCTCAGCTCAGGCTGGTCTCCTAATAGCTGGAAATAAAACTCATCCAACGCTGAAAACGCCAGGAAGGCCTCGCCTTCAACCATGGAGCTCCAGAGCCCCCTCGGGAGCACCTTACAGCAGCTTTTCCTGACACAGCTCCCACTCATCCAGAACAGCAGGACTCCTGTGTTGTGGCCAGCATCTTGGTTGGAGCACCTGGAGCACCACGTTGTGCCTTCAGGGCGAGCGGTACGGGTGCCCTGTTCCTGGACTGCAATGCCTACGTGAAGCTCCAGACTAAGAGGACAGCCAGCAGTTCACATTCCCAGGCATTTACCACCCCCCTGGCTCTTCCCAGAACCTGTGGCACAAGCAACGTATCATAAACATTTTACTGAGGGATCCTCACTGATGTAAATTGCCAGGAAAACTAAAGTTAAACTATTCTTAAAGGGTGACTGTCAAAGTTTGCAGGTAAAATCTCTGATATCACTCAGATAAGACCAAAACTGTCTTTATTTTCCGCACGCTTTCTGCTGTCTCCAGCCAGCCAAGACCGAGCAACACTGGTGCTCACGCTCAGCTCCACACAGGGCAACAATCCAGCAGATTTAGCCTGGCTTCCAAGGCGCATTTAGGGCGACACTAATACGAGGTACATCAGCACCTGCAAACCCTTCCTGACCGGTGCTCCCGGTTCCCAGAGGCGCTAACGAAGAGGCCTGAGGCTGAGCTGGGGTTACAGCCCTCCCGGCTGCCCCACGGCCCGCGCCGGCCCCTCGCGCCCATCGGGGCGTCCCGCAGGCGCCCGCCCGCCGAGGGCACCCTCAGCCTCTGCACCCACCACGGGCCTGGGGTGCTGTGAGCTTCGGGGCGTAAAGCCCAGGCCTTCAGCAGCGCCTGGCAATGGCAGGCAGCAGGCAGGGGCACGCAGCAGGGGCATGATGAGAAGTGAAAAACATGCAGGGAATTCGAACGCCTCAGGGAGGCTCCGGCCAACGCACCTTCCAGATGAGCATTTGGGAGATAATGCATTAAAGGTGATGTTTTCCTTCTGAATAAAAACAACGGAGATTTCAAACTTCTGCAAATAACATGGAACATGAAAAAGCTGCCTTCTTCAGCTACATGCCTCCTTGTCCTGCCTTTCTCAACTGTCTCCACAATAAATAATTAGCAGCAGTTCTTTCCTGTATGTATTCTGTAATAGCCTATGCACCCAGAGTAGAGGGAGCCATCAAATAAAAGTCTCCCAAAACTTTGCCAAATCAATATTGCACCATTATTTCTTTCCAAGGGAGAGGATGTGCCAGTAACTCATTTTCCCTTTTTGTCCTCAGCCTGTTTGTGTCAGGGTAGGATCTCAATACAAACCAGCTCTTAAAGACGCTCTGCTTCTTGGAGGATTCTCCCACTTGATCTGGGGATCTGTTTTGTAATGGGAGCAAAATGTAGGCTGAAAAGTCCCACTGCCCTCTGGACCTGCAGTTTTCCCATATGTTCTTCCCATGTGTTTTAAATAACTATTTACCTTAGTTCCATCCGAACAGTTACACAGAATGAAATAAGGTTGGAATAGTCCGGGCAGCACGTGACAGCCACGTCGAGCACAATGATCTCTTCCAAAATGATACAAACCTCTTCAGAACCCGGAGCGAAAAACAAAAAGGAATCACCCAGCCTGATCCCAAGAAAGGATGTGTCTTTGTGCAAAGGGGAGACGCTCCTGCAAGTCACTTGCCCTGTTCCTGGTCTCGGCAGTCGTCCATGTCCACGTCGGAATCAAAGAGCGAGTGTCCGGTGTAGTCAGTGTCAGGAGTGTGAGAAATGCTGTTCTCTGTCCCCTCCTCATCAAACGTTTCTGTCCTTGAATAAAAGCTGAAGTCCTGCAAGGGGGAGTGGGTCTTGCTCGTCTCGCTGCTCTCCTCAGACTCATACAGGGTGTTATCGTCGTCGTGGTGCCACTCGGGCCAGAATTTCCTCCGGATGCGCTCGCAGTACATGGCAAGGTTGATCAGCTCCCCTGCAACACAGCCCAAGAGGCTCCAGTAAACACACGCGCTCAGGGACGCTGCCACTCGCCTGCCCACGTGCAAGCACATTTAGAACACTTCCTTAGTGCATCATGCAGGTTCTTCTCAAAGAGGCCTCAGAAACCTCACTTTGAAAGACCAAGATCCAGGCAGCTCTTAGCTACAGTGCTTATAACTCTTATGTAACTTAAAATACACCTTATTAACCTACATACAATAAGAAAGGCTACATAGAAATTTACACAAATGCACGTGGCAAAATAACCATCCCAAATTCAGTCTTTACAGAAATAGTGGAAGAAAGCAAAATTCTTGTATTGTAAGTTGTTTAAAATAAAAACTATCGCTCATTAGGTAGGAACATGTGTCCAAAGACAGACTTTTCACATTCATATTTGCAGTGTATGTAATTCATTTATTATAGTGAATTTGGACAAGGTTCTGGGTTGGCACCACCAGATGGCAGCACAGCCCACAAGATAAATTCGCTGCTTTTTAAGGTTTTTCTGTGCCCGCAGGATCACCTTTTAGTACTTCTAGTCCATGTGAGTGCACTGTGCTTTATAGCTCCACACTCACACACATAAATAAGCGTGTGCTTTGAGAGAGAACCCAGTGGAAAAGGTCAAGGAAGAGCAAGGGAGTCCCAGCACAGCCAGGGGACCCTGGAGCAGGGGAAAGGGACACTCCGAACAACCCACGGCCTGAGCAGCTCTGGGGGGCAGAGCTGCCCCTGTTGCCTCAGTATTTGCATCCACTACCATCCATTCATTTTAGTCAGCAAACACACTATTCCCTCCCAAAATCCTTGGACCCCTCAGAATTTTACCTGTGCTTCCCTCAGTGCTCAAAAGGAAAAAGGACCCCATGAAACAATTTCAAATGTTTTCAGCTCGTGCAATGTTGAACAATGAGCAAATCCATGCCTCCACACTGCTCCTTTAGCAGCTACCTATCTGTGGCTCACAGTGCTTTTACAGGCAGTACTCACTTCTTTTACAACTGTTTCACATCCTTCTCCTCCTAGCTCTTCCCACTTTTGATGTGGGCAAGGGCATTCTGCAAAGGGATGCCAAGATGGCACACTCTTGCCACTCCACAAGAAAGGAAAGGAATAAAAATTTAAAAATAAAAAGGCAATTACGTTGGCTGCCAATTTATGCAAAAACAAAGTGACTCTAAAGTCAGGCTGGATTCTTTCCTTACGGTATATATTTAGTAATAACGAAGGCTGCATTTTCAGTGGAAGAGCAGAACCTACAGCTCAATGACACTGCTCAGCAGATTCTGGCTCGTGGCAGTGCTTCCACCTTCTCATACATTGCCAACATTCACTCCTAAAGGTATCTGGTCTTTGCTATGTTAAACAGGTAAATGAACAGGTACAGAAATAGAAATAATTACAAGGTAGAACATCAAGGTGAAACGAAAAAGAATTTGAAGACAACACTATAGGATGCTGCACCAAAGGCCAAAACAGCCCGTGATGCAGGTCAAGTGCTCCCACAATCTTCAAATGTCCTTGACAGGACGAATAAGATGCTCCAAGTTTGAACACAGAAAATGTCACCATGTGATTTTCATTAGAGATCATTTAAACTTTCTTACCTTTGATCAGTCTCTCTGGTCTAGTCCCTGGTAGTGTCCACATTGCCTGTGCCAGGTGTCCAAAGACAGTGGCATCAACAGTGGAAAGCTTTGGTCCCATAATGTATTTCTTGTCGCCTGCAAATACAATAGCAAACATCTGTGGAACAGCTGACACTTCTGCTCAGGGCAACACTAGATCTCTCCCTGACCACATCTTTAACACATCTTTCTATTGAAATGATTTAGATGAGAACCTTTATGATTTTAAGACACAGGAGTTCAAAGACGGGGAGTTAATATAATTTAAGTAGAATAAGGTGCAAAATTTGGTTCAAGACTATGGTTCAAAAGTTGTTACTTGAGGTGAAAGCCATTTTGTGATTCCTCTACATCCACCACTTCTGCAATTAGGCCGATTACAGAGTCACTGGCCAAACGACCTCCTCTAGTCACCACAGCAGGTGAAGGATACCCACCGCACTAGGTGCTCGAGAGCATCATCTTCTCCTTGGGTATGGGCTTCACGTCATGCTGAATGCACTTGCTGCAACAGTTTGGCACCTTGCATCTCCCATATGTGCGGATCCAGTTCCTGCACACCCCCCTGATCACACTGAAAGTTAAAGTGGCACCCAAAGCTTTCCTCTCACAGAGCTTTTTCACCTCAGCCCATGGGACAGCGTTTGCAAAAGAGGCCAGTGCACGTAGGACTCAGCTCCGGGCAGGAATGAGCAGCCTGCAGCTCTGAGGAGGTTTGCCAAGCATCTCCTCCCACGACACATTGCTCTGACTATTGCTACAAGACTCTTCCCATTCCCTCCCCTCAAACTACTGCCCATTTCAGTCCTAATGCAGACACCACGCGCTTGTGGCAGGCACCAAAATGAGAGACTTAAGAGGCAAGTGCCCCACAGACAAGAGCAAGGCAGGCTTTCCCCACACCCCTGGGGACACCCCACTGCCTTAAGTGCAGACACAGAGATTTTGCTCTTGGTTCCTCTAGCCTTCAACGCCACGACAGTTCTAGCCCTGTGAAAGGTAGATGTCTTATTAAGCACATTGCCTGGGCTCCCCTCCACCTCCTGTCATGTCGTGGCTACTTCATCTCCCATCCTGGAGATGAACTAACTAAAGAGGAGAAAGCAGAAAACGACATTCCAAAGACGCCACTGCCGAAAACGTGTCCATGGGGACACGTCCTTTGGAAGAGGCCCTGCACCTGCAGCGCAGTCCCAGGCAGGACACACAAATGACACGTGCTCTATTTCTGAGATCAGGTTACGGCCTGAATTGTCCCTCCGCTGGCCCAAAGTGCCATCAGCTCCGAAACGTGCCGTGCAATTGAATTCCCTAAATCCAGTTACTGCAGCTCCCTAGGACTTTCTGCCCCTGTTCAATAAAAACTGCCTGCCATTTGGTGGGTTATTAAACGTCACGGTTACTAAGTGGCTTCAGAAAAAATGTGCAGCAGTAAAATGCAGCAAATCTCAAAGTAGAGCATTAGTCTGTGATCCCTCTGTACCATCATGTACCCCAAAGCAGTGCTCAGGAATAAGCTATAATGATGCCTTCCTACAGCACACCGGGACTGATTTTAACATACAGCAAACTCGCTCCAGCTCTTCACAGCTTCATCATCTATTTCCTGAAAATGATGTGCAGGGCAAATGTTTTAAGTATCTTTTTTGTATTTATGTGGTGTCTAGCATTCACTGATCTCAAAAACCAGCCCCCAACCACAGTCACATGCTACGTTAAATGCCATTTCACTTGACAGCACTAGGAAAATGTAATACCAGACAACCAAGCCCCAGAATCAGCTCATAACGATGCTGTGCTGGGAAGAAATGCCACATTTCAGCTGTTGCTGCAACTAAGAGGAGAGCTGAGCCCCCCCTTTCTTGGGTAAATAGAGCAGTTCCATGTATGCAACACCTCTTACTTGAAAGGAGTGGAAATGAAGGGGAGGAAGAAACAAAGCTCTGCTCCCATAAAACAGTATATTAGTTACAGGTCACCTCACGCCCCAAACACCAACCCAGCACTGAATTTTGTGCTGGATTCCAGGGTGTCCCCTCAGGGGTGGCCAACGCTGCTCAGAAGTGCCTCACTGGGGCCCTGGCCCACGCCGGAGGTGCCACCACGTGCGGGGCCCGAGCTGGATCATGTCTTGCCCCACGGTGCGGCTGCGCGAAGGTGCAGGATTCGGGAATGCCGAGTGCCACAGGGAAGCGGCTTTGGGTGGAGATGCAGCGGGAGCAGAGGCCCGGCCGCTCTGGGAGGAGCGTCACAAGATCAGGCAGCTGCCAAGCTGTCACTCTCTGGAAGTAGTTCTTGGAATTTAAAAATGTTTTTTGAATTCCCATTTGTATTTTTTTCCCCTAAAAATAGGGAGCATTAAAAGCAGTTGCAGCTTGATAAATGCAGCTGTTGTGCGGCCATTCAGAGGGACCTGGACAGGCTGGAGAGTTGGGCAGAGAGGAACCTCATGAGGTTCAATAAGGACAAGTGCAGGGTCCTGCACCTGGGGAGGAATAACCCCCGGCACCAGTACAGATTAGGGGTCGACCTGCTGAAAAGCACCTCCACGGAGAGGGACCTGGGAGTCCTGGTTGACACCAAGCTAACCAGGAGTCAGCAGTGTGCCCTCGTGGCCAAGAAGGCCAATGGGATCCTGGCTGCATCAGGAGGAGTGTTGCCAGCAGGTCAAGAGGGGATCCTGCCCCTCTACTCAGCTCTGGTGAGGCCGCACCTGGAGTACTGTGTTCAGTTCTGGGCTCCCCAGGACAAGAGGAACATGGAGCTTCTTGAGAGGGTTCAGCAGAGAGCAAAAAAGATGATTAAGGGAATGGAGTATCTACCATACAAGGAGAGACTGAGTTGGGCTGGTTTTCTCTGGAGAAGAGAAGGCTGAGAGGGGATCTGATCAATATGCATAAATACCTGAAGGGGAAATGTAGGGAGGAAGGGACCAAACTCTTCTCAGTGGTGGCCAGTGACAAGACAAGGGGCAGTGGGTACAAGTTGAAACCCAGGCAGTTCCATCTCCGTGTGAGCAGGAACTTCTTCCCTGTGAGGGTGCCAGAGCCCTGGCACAGGCTGCCCAGGGAGGCTGTGGAGTCTCCTTCTCTGGGGATCTTGCAAACCCGCCTGAATTCCACTCTGTGCCCCATGCTCTGGGTGTCCCTGCTGGAGCAGGGGGGTTGGACTGGATGATGTTAAGAGGTCCCTTCCAACCTCAACCCTTCTGGGATTCTGGGATTCCACATTATAGACATCCTTTTCAAGCTCTTAATATTGCCCCCTAATTAACAGTCAAAATCCAAACTGCTTCCCTCTCTAGGAAAGCCCATGGGCACACATCCACAGCAAGGCATCCTGCAAAGCGTTTCCTGCGGGTGCTGTGCTGCCCAAGTGCCATTTCTCAACCCCAGTGAAACAGCAGCATCTCCAACAAGGCTTTAAGTCATTCCCAGTCCCATTCCCAGTCCTCACAGGACACTGTGCAGAGGCCTTGATTATCTGGACAGAACCATGAAGAGCAGGTGGGGGAAAAATTTCACATACTGATGCCAGTGGAAAAAATAGGGCAGTTACAGAAGCTTGGAAAAATGCAGGAATATTCAAAAGGTGAAATACAATGATTCACCTAACTGTGCCCTTACTAAACTGGCATCCATTTCAGACAGAAAGATGAGAAAAATGCACTAGATTCACTGGTAGAGGAGTAAATTCAGCAGATGCCCATCAAGGCCATTTTAAATACACAAGGCACAACATTCTCATCCATAATCCAGAGGCAAATATAAAACCCCAGCTGACAACATACGTATCATACAACTAAAAAACTGATACAGTGGCAAATAAGATCAGGACAGTGAGTGGGTGCACAAACTGGGCCACAACAAGCAAGAGAGTGCAAGGATGAAGGCAGGTATTTATAAGCAAGGAGCAGGGAGCACATGCAGTGAACAGGAGGCAAGCAAAAACAGTTCTGGTTTCTTGTTTGCTTTGGTTTGTGTATTTTATGTTCAACAGATGAAGAAAATCATGGAGATACTTGAAGATTTCCACCTGCTTTTCCCACCAAATACAACACAGACAATTTGACCGCAGCATTTATCTTCAGGAGATGATAGAGGCCACCCAGGAGGTGAGTTTGCAGACAGATTTGTACTTTAAATGGCCATTCTGATGCGATTAACAGCTGTCACCAATAAAGCAGCAGCATTCCCACCTCTTGAAATCTTCCCCTCAAAACTGGATGCCTTCTGGAGAGACAAGCTCTAGCCAGAACCAGACAGCGGCCTCCGGACACAACACACACAGATGTGTCTGGAAGATTTAATGATCCCTTTCAACCTCAGATTTAAAAATCCGAGAATGAACGTATGCTACGGAGACAGAAGGCTGCAGATAAATGCAGGGGACAGGCTAAAGAGCAGAAATGCAAACTCAGTAATGGTTACAGACAAGCAAGGGATCAATCTGTCACACGCAAGTGGCTTTGGCAGGGCCATGTGCGACGCAGTGAGGACTGGCCTAACTCTGGACAGAGCCCTGCTCTGAGCTGCAGCAGCCGTGCAGCACCCAGGGAGGCACCAGGAGGCTGAGAATGATCAGACTAAGCTGCTGGAACCTGCCTGCCCTGCCACAGCGTGCAGCTCACACAGCACTCAGCACTCCGGTGAAATCGGGTGTGGGGGATGCAGGGCAGTGCAACGGCCACGGAAACCAGAAGCCTCTGAGAAGCCTTCAGGAGTTTCTGCTGGAGACGGGGCCCACAGGGCTGCTCTTGGCAGGCGGGAGTGACCAGCACAACCACACCTGCCGCTGCCAAAATCCCTTAGCCGGGTCTGCCGAGATGCCCAGCCCAAGCCGGGGGGCTCTGCTGAACTCCCACGTCCTGGGTTGAAGGTAGGGCAGCCCCCTCACAGCCTGTTCCTCCCCACGGGGCTGCCCCATGCGCTGCCAGCCGTGGAGTCTCTCCCTTCGCCTCCTGAGCCAGCACAGCTCTCTGCTGAGTGCTCCTCACCCCTGCTCCCCCATGCGCCCCACACTCACCTGCCCAGGGCACGGGCAGCCTCTCCTCCCCCTGCAATGCAGGAGAAGTGCAGGAGCAGGCAGGGGGCTGGGGGCATCACCCCCCCTGCCACCAGCTCAGCCACCTCCTCAGGGAAGTCAGAACTGCAGCAAAGCAGCTACGGAGCCGCCGCTGCGCCCGGGTTCTGGCTTATTCAAAACTAGTATTTGGGTTATTCAATGTTTCCTAACTCTTTGTAGCGGAGGAGCGACAAGCTCAAAGGAAGGAACAGTCTTCTCCAAACCAATTCCCTCAAATGCTAATTTTACAAAAAACATTATGTAATTAGGCTGTGAGGCAAGAAGCACAGGGCACACAGCTCTGGTAGGCATTTCAGCCTTGGCTACACACCAGAAAAGAGCTTCATATGGTACCAGCTCAGTCAGGTCAGCATCAAGACTAACTCTACAGAAGCCACAGACAATATCCAACAAACCTCAAGTCCCCCATTCTGATAGTACAGACCCATCTCCTACCAGTAGCTTTCAATAAACACCAACCACATCCGACACCCTCCAGCTCATAAAAATCCCATCTGCGAAGGACTTTCAGACGACAGCCTCAAAATGACCCATCAGTCACAAGCCTCATCAGGAAAAACGAGATTTCCCAAGGTATAAGAGGTTTCATTTCCAGAACTGAACAGTGCATGTTCCTGATTCACGCAGGAGCACACAATTCCAAAACCACAGGTCACACTCTGTTCCTCTACAGCAACGCCAGGGCCTAGGCAGGTATCGGAGGCCTTGCTCACCCCTCAAGCAGCCCCATTTAGCACCAAGCAAATAGCAGTAAAGAAGCCCTGTCCCTGCAAGGAGACAACCAGCCCCAGGGAGAACCCGTGTGCTCCACCTCCGAGCACAGGGGTTGCGCACAGGCAGTGCCGGGGACTGAGCACAGGCAGCACACCGGGGGTTGCGCACATGCAGTGCCGGGGGCTGCACACAGGCAGTGCTGGGGGCTGCGCACAGGCAGCACACCGGGGGTTGCGCACAGGCGGCACCGGGGGCTGCGCACAGGCGGTGCTGGGCACTGCGCACAGGCGGCACTGGGAGCTGCGCACAAGCAGCACACCGGGGGTTGTGCACAGGCAGTGCTGGGGGCTGCACACAGGCAGCCACGGGGGCTGCGCACAGGAGGTGCTGGGGGTTGCGCACAGGCGGTGCCAGGAGCTGCGCACAGGCGGCCATGGGGGTTGCGCACAGGCAGCACACCGGGGGTTGCGCACAAGCGGTGCTGGGGGCTGCGCACAGGCTGTGCTGGGGGTTGCGCACAGGCGGCCACAGGGGCTGCGTACAGGCAGCACACCAGGGGTTGCGCACAGGCGGTGCCGGGGGTTGCGCACAGGCGGCCGCAGGGGTTGCACACAGGCGGCCGCGGGGGTTGCGCACAGGCAGCACACCGGGGCCTGCGCACAGG